TATTTTAAAATTATTGACTTTCATTTTATTCTATTATATTTTTGAAATTATATAATAGGCCAGTGCTCATTGACTCGTGTAAACATAACAAATTGATATAGAATATATCTTAGTATACTCTATGGCTAACGCAACAAATATCAGTTATTGGATACACTATGGTGCATCTTATTAATGGTACTAATATTTAACTTTGAACTCGTGTAAATTTTGCCCAGTTTATGCAAAGTATTTAAAAATGTTTCATAAGTATAAATATATAACACTATATACCACATATAGTTTATACTATATTTTKACTATATTTATATATATTCATTTAAGTGATTTTATAAACTTTCATTCGCTTTGCATAGACCGAGATAATGTCTGCCATCTATTATTCCCCCATCCTCCATCCCCACACTGAGTCAAAATTCATTCAAAAAATTTAGTTGATAAGTTCGAGAACCATTTCATAAATTAAATTATATGATAAATAAAGACGCATTATATAGCCGACTTACTTGCATTGTATATGAATTGTTGCTGCTGCGACTGCCACGCATAGGCATTCACTTGGTCCAGATCCTGGTGGTTCTGCCAAATGGCCAGCACTTCCGTCTTGCTGCTCGGCTCCTGCAGCAGCTCCAGACGACTTGCATTTAGCGGCAGATGTTGCAGCAGAGCAAAGCTTTGCAGCACAAAAGAAGGAGCTGTAGGATGGAATATATCACGATATCTTCGAAGGACACATATACATATATAGCTTACCTGTGAGGCGTCGCTGCACTGCAGCCACTTGCTCATTTAACTGCTGCCAATTGTTTACAGCATCTACTCCACGTTTCCATTTGTTGCTTCCAGCTGGCACATCCCCCAGCTCATAGTTGGCCACGCTCAGTGGCTGAGTGAATATCAGCTGGCTGGCCACATGCAAATTGGGACGATTGTGAGCCTTGTTGACCAGCAGCTCATTCACATTCAGCCCATTGATGTTATCCACCCAGAGCTCTTCGATGTTGCTACTCAGGATACGCTGTTGCTCCGGAAGCGCGTTCTTCACCAGCAGCGAGCCGCGTATATACTGCTCCCGATCACAAAGAAGCAATTGATCCGCTTGCCAGTGAACGCCATTCACTGGACCCACAACCCGCAGGTCGTTGTAGAGATTCAGGGTTTCCATGACCGTGGTGCCGGCAATGGTGTGATTACCATAGGTGTAAACCGTATTGTTGATCCATTGCGCAATCGGAACGTTAGCTACTGTGCTGCTGGTCGTGGCAAAGAGACGTTTAATTGTTGCAGTCTGTGCGGTTTTGGGTGCATCTATTACAGTGACGCCCGGATTATCCTTGCGCAGAACGTCGTCGAATAAATTTAATTGATTAACACGCACATTATTTAGATCTCCCTCAACTTGAGCTACAGGTAGACGCCATTGTGCTGTTATGGTTTGTAGACCAGAGGTTTTTAATGAATTTTCCACGAAATCCTCGAAATTTAATGGGAAGTTGCTATAATACAAATTGTTTTAAATATTGATATAAAATTATAGCTAATATATGGTAAATGATTATTATTTATTTAATATTATTATATATTATTTCAATAATTTTAAAAATTATAACCGCAAAGATTGAGCGGCCCTTTTAAAAATACGTTCACACTGTTCATGTACAAATCATGGTGATTATCGATAGCGCGATAGCTCGATATTTCTTGTAAGTGCCATCATTTGTGTGTCATCCCTGGAAGTATCAGTTTATTGTTTTTCTTGGTGTGAAGTGTTGAGAGATTGAAAAGTGCTGTCTGCCCGTAGAAAGTGCATTTAATTTAACATTAACCCCAACAAAACACAAGGTAAAACCTAGATTGTACCTGTGGTAATAATCGTGCGTGTACATTGCGGGCAATTGCAACGTGTACAGAAATTTCACCTGCAAACAGAAGCGCGCACAGCTGATTGTACCTTGTATGTGTGTGATAGTTGACGGGGAGGGAACATTTGGAAGTGTGTATATGTGCGGAGTGCATGTCAAACCGCGTTAAGCGCGTAAACAAATGCAAGTGAAACTCGATGCCAATTACAGTTAAAGCCTTTAACAATCACTTACCCAATGCCCTCAACAAGTGCGCCATCTTTGACACGTAGCTGTACTTGCTTGGCGGTCAGCGTTTCTGCAAAAGTGACGTCATTCTCGAAATTAAACGGCACATTTAGACGCTGACTGCGCGTACGGCTAAAGTAATTGCGTTCGATATGCTCCACATCCAAACCGTTTAGTGTGCCCTATTGCAATACAGTTAGTGTTTCACAACCATTTATACATGCGAAATTTGTACAGCGACTCACCTCAAACTCCATCAGCCCGTTAAAACTGGCATTGGCCAGCTTCACAGCTTGCAGTTCCACAAACTCGTTGTCTAGCCAGAGCTCGTCGAGCAGTTGCTGCAACTGATGCCCGTTCAGCTTGTCATAGATCGGGGGCACTGCAAACTCGGCCTGCTCCACGTGCAACGTGTCCAGCTCGCCCGTTGCCCCGCCTTCAAGGTAATGTTTGAGTGCATCTAGCTGGTAGTCGTTTAGGCTGCTCACATTGCAGACGTGCTGCGGCGATAGCATCACCACATGACCTTTGACCTTGAATGGCGCCTGCAGCGTGCCGCCACCTTGCGCATGCAGCATATCCTCTGGCACGCGCAATCCATTCACACGCCCCACACTCAGCGACTGCTGCAGCACAATCGGATTCACTGCAAAATTGCATTACATTGAAATTGCATTTCCTTATTGGATTTATGATCAATACGGCTATTTGATTTCCAATTAGACTAATAACTGCTACAAAATTCAGTTGTATTTAGTTGAATTGCTCCTAAAGCTTTAAGCTTTACACGGAATCAGTAAGAAGAGCTTTGCATTGTTTGCTTTCTTATTAGACTCGTGCTGATTGCAGACTGTAATATTAGCGGATAGTATTCTTTGCAAAGATAAAAAAGCAAGGTAAAGCTTTAAACTTGAGTCATAAGACAGATGAGAGTTTCAATAATTAATTTACTTTGTAAATATTAATCAATGCAGAGATACAGTTCAACCTTACCTAAGAGGAATATAGTATCTAGGTTAGCTCATAGAGCGGTCCATTTTCGTAATTTACTAATTAAGTTTATCGCTTTGGTTAAGCTAATTGACATTTTGGCTATTAGCTGGATTCTAAACGTCGACGCTATGTTTATACCCTTAGTTTAGTTCATGAAAATAACTAGTTTAGGTGACCTTAACTGGCATTTGAGGCACATGAGCTTAATTGTTATTGGTCAAGCTAAGTACGTTGACAGCTTTTATATTATCTTAAATGTTGGTGCCAAGAAATTCTGAATTGTTAGTCTGCTTTTAAAAAGCCAATTATAAACGAGTATAGTATAGTACAGTTGTACTTTGCTCTACCTTTTAAATAATATAATTAGCTTAATAATTCTTCACTGTTTTATTAAATTGAGTAAATCCTTGGAATATGCAACAAAGAAAAAGCTTGAATGTTCTCGAGACTCATTTTACGATTACACAAAGAAAATCGAGACTTGATTCATTATGAATATTGTAAACAAGAAATCATTGCTAATTCAAATATTGCTCAAGTTATTTTTGATAAAATAATATGAAGTCTCAAGTGCATGATTTGTCTAGGCCTTATTTCAAAGAACTAACGACACTCATCTTACGATTAAATCAAATATTGATGAATATTCATTTTCGGACCAATCCAATCCCGATCATGATTCAATGTATGTATAAGTAGTGTTTGTCTACTTACCAAATTTGACTGCGGGCAAGTGTTCCGTGCCATTCAACCTGTAGCTGTCTTTGACCAGCTGCTCCAGCGTGTAGTTGTTGAGTCGCCCCTTCAACTGCACATCCTTATCGCTGGCTAGAGATGCAAAGACTTGCGGGGCTGTGAACAGCTGCGGGCCGCTGCTCTGTAGCCAGCAGTGCCCGAATCTTTGGGCTGAGATACCGTTTAGAGTGTCTCCAAAGGTGAGACCGCTCACGTTGACAGCATGGCGAAAGGTGAAGTCGCCCACGTATTTGATGTTGCCCGCCAGCTGCTGGAGCTGCTGCTCCACCTCTGCCACGGTGGCATTGTTTATGCGCCCCTTGAGCCACACGTTGCGTGCCTCGATCGTGCCATTGAAGTGCTCCGGCAACTGCCAGCTGTGCGGGCGCTGGGCGCCCTGCTTGTAGAGCTCCTCGAGGGTGTGGCCAAAGATCTGGCCATGCATGTGCAGCTGCTCGACGGTGAGATGCTCCGCCTGCAGCTGATCCACGTACAAGCTGCTATTGGAGCGCTGCTCCCCGCCGTGTTGCATATATGCATGCAACTCCATTCCATTCAGCAGCAGCTTGGTGGCATTTAAGTGAGGCGCATCCAGGCCCGCCAGCTGCATTGGATGCTTGAAGCTTTGGTTGCTGCTCTTCAGCAGCAGCTGCTGCGGTAGCTGCTCCACGTTGATGCCGTTGACCAGATTGACCTCGCCAAAGCCGTTGAGTATGGTAAGGCTCTGGGGCAGCCGCTTGGCGCCTTCAATCACCTGCACCTGGTCCACATTCAGCTGCACCAGCTCCTGCACGTCCTGGGTATTGATGAAGCTCACCTGCGTATTGTTGGCGTTCAGTGGCTGCTCAAAGCGCAGGTTCAAATTGTCTAAGGGTTGATCCACGTGCAGTGCCTCCTGCAGTATTCCAACTGCCGATCTCTGTGAGGATGCATCGCGCAGCTCCTGCACTTGCAGAAGTTGTCCAATTGTGACATCGCCATTGATCACATAGTCGCCCTGCAGCTCGAGCGGCTGATCTGATACTTTCATTGGCGACATGGCACTCAGCTCGGCGCCCAGTAGTTGACCCTATAGAGGAGACTGAGGTCTGCAAAGATCAACTTTCCATTATTGACGGTCAGGGACACTTACCGAAATGGTAATCGGCTCCAGCACACGAATATTCTCGAATCGCTTGGTGCCCTCAATCACCTGGGTGTGGTTCGCCTCATGGAGCAGCACGTCGAAGCGCTGCCTGTCCACGTGTATGTGATTGAGCCGCTGGTTGATGTTTAGCCGATTCACCTCGATGGGCTGTGCGAATTGTACGTCCTGCTGCACGACGTAGTCTCCAGCATCGATGGACACCAGCTGGCCGAGTGGCCGCTCGTTGATCTCATTGCTGTTGACTCTGACTGCCTCGGCCTTCAGGTTGCTGATGTCGGCGGCTGCCTTGATGAATTGGACCTCGTTGCCGCGTCGCTTCAGCGTTTGCTCCAGCAGCTGGGTCCAGTCGTGGCCATTCAGTTTACCCGACAGCTGCAATTCCTGCAACGTCAGTTGCTCCAATGCAGGCGCTGGCAGATCCTTGGCCGCCTCCTTGTACTCCTCGCTCACATACACTTTGCCGGCGCTGACCGACTCGTAGATGGGCTTCTGTCTGTCCACCCCATTAATCCGCTCCGCCTGCAATGCCGCGTGCACCACCAGCGTACCAACTGTTATCTCATCGAACTCGTGTTGCTCCTTCGGCTGCTGCACTCCATCCCGCTTGACGGGATGATGCTGAGCCCGAGCTGCATCCATTTCGATAACGTCCAACGCACGCTTTGCATAACGCAGAGCATCCCAATAGTTTGCAGTCAGTTTCTGTTGCACATCGACAAACTGTGAAGCAAAAGAGAGGGAATATATAATGTAATTCGATTACTGCTGTCTACTCTTGTATAAGTATACGACGATGATATATATATGATGATCGAACACGCTTCATTTCATTTTGTCCATTATAGAGCTGTCCAAATTTCCGAAATTGCTGAGCTTCTGTTCATGTTCATGTACAGGCAATTTGGTGTATATGCTCGCATTGAGAACCAATGGTAAAAGCTATATGAAGTGGATATATCTATATATAATAATAATAGTAATATAGAGCATTGTATATATTTTATACAAATATGCTTTACTGAATCATCATTAGTATAAGCCACAAAAAAAGACAAGTAAGAAGGCTCTAGTCGAGACTGCTCGACTAGGAGATACCCTGAACCCTCCAAGCTGATATTCTAATCATGCTGCACTTCTATTCACACATACATACACATGCATCCAGACGCACTTATAGCAACGCGCTCTGCTGACGGCACAGTAAGCAGCGACTGCGCTTGGGCTGCGCTGCAATGTGGGCAATATTATACGAATTTATTTGTTGAATAATTTAATTTCTAGACGTACAATCTTAATAAAACTTTCAGAACGTAATCATAGTATTCAAATGTATNTCTCTAGTACTTGAAATGCGTTTTTTACAAATTGGGGGAGAAGAAGGCGTGGTATCCAAAATCTGTAATTTACAAAATCTTTGTATCCATTAACTTTATATAAAACGCAAATTTGAAGTCTCCAGGTCTAAAAGTGTTCAAATTAGGCTGAAAAAACCAAGTCGATTTTTCGATTATTCTCGATAAAAAAGTTATCGGATGAGTTATCGAAAAAATAAACTTGTACTGCCTATGGTATACACGAGTATGCATGTCAAATTTCAGCTCTCTAGCCGTTATATCTTCTGAGATCCTTTTGCTCATACGGACGGACGGACGGACGGACAGGGCTATATCGACTCAGCTCGTCGTCCTGACCAAGCATATATATACTTTATGGGGTCTGCGATGATTCCTTCTGCCTGTTACACTTTTCACAAAACCATTATACCCTGATTTCCCATTTTCAATGGGTTCAGGGTATAAAAAGAAAAACACCTTGAATTAGTATTGTGCGGTTGGTAGCACCCGACTCGTTTAATTGTTTTCAGAAAACACTTGTGTATTTCGTCATTGTTAGCCCCGCTTATCTTATTTAAATAATTTTTTAAGTATATGTGCATATTGTATTACTCACCGACTTGGTGTTTACGCGTTTAATGTGCATTTTCCGCAGCTGCTTTTCCCGTTCGCTGAGTTTATGCTGCAATTTGAGTTAAGTTGATTAGAGTGTCCCAATGAGTATCCAATACTCTCTCTTACCTTTAGAGCCAGCAACAATTGCTCCAGATTAACTGCATCCATTCTTTTTGTTTGTTCGCGCGCCCATTCGATGATTTGTTGCCGCAGGACATTGGCGTGCTCGTCCTGTTTATAGAGCGGCTGGAATACGTTTGTCTCATTGGCGGCCATGTTCTCGTTGGCAATAACTGACAATAATGTAGAAGTGCACCACATAAAGCAAACTGCATTTAGTGGAAACTTGGCCAAAACCCACCTAAGTAGCTCTGCTCGTTCTCCTCGTAGCTGCGCATGCGTGCCACGCCCCTGCTGAAGGCGCCTTCGGTGAACTGCACAGTCGATTGCTCGAATTTCCAGTCGTTGAGATTGTAAATTTTCACATCCTGCTTGTTGCAGGCCACAAATAACAGAAACTTTTCCGAAACTGAGTGCTGTACGCGAGATGTTTCAATTCACGATATGATCATTTTATATATAAATGTATGTTGTGTAAGTAAATAATATTCTATTTAATATGACTTGACTCTTCTTACTTTACTCTGAGATTATTATTCTATTCAATATGATATACTATACGTATATGTATTAGCCGAGACTTTATGCGTTTGTCTCTGCAACATATATGACCACAATTTTATGCATTTGGCTCTTCAATCTCACTTGACTCTATGACTTGGCTTCACTCACCGTCACGGGCAAAAATCGTTCCAGTCCATAGAAACTCAGACGCTGATAGGGCACGAATTCTCCTTTATCAAAGACATAGATCACCGTATCTGCTTCGCCAGCGCTGCCTGCAGCTCCTGCTGCGCCTCCTGCGGCACCCACCGTATTGCCCATTATAAGGAAATGGCGGCGGCTGACTTCATTCACGGGCAGACTGAAGTACTTCACATCGACTGCTCCATTGGTGCGCAGGCGTTGGAAGAGCTGAAAGCGGCGCGTTGTTGGGTCGTATTTGTAGATCTCCGAGTGGGTGGAGGTGCGGCCATCTGGACTGGCATAGTTGGCCACCGCCACGTAGTCCGCGTAGTCAATGCCAAAGGCCTCCAGACGACGCGCGTTGCTGCAGGGGATGGCGCCCAGGCGCTGGAATGTGCCACTAGTCCACTTGAAGTAGGGACAGCTCGGCTGCCTCTTCGTGCCGGCCCCCTCGTAGGCCTGCAGCAGCGTCAGCTCCTGGCTGCTAATCCTCAGATACATGCCTCGCAAGTGCAGGCCGGCAAAGTACTGCACCGTGCGCATGACTCGCTCCGGCGACAGCTCGTAGATGGGCGAACCATCGCGCGCCTGCAGCACGGGCTCACTGTGGTTATAGCTGAGGGCCACATAGCCCAGACCCGCATATGCCAGGCAGTCTAGTGCCACGGCTTTGGGCGCCGGCTGCTGCAGCAGCAGCTCATAGTCCTGCTCTGCCGCCCGCCACACGTACACAGCGAACTGGCGCACACCTGCCGCATCCTTGTGCAGCGTTGTGGCATACTTCACGCTGGGCAGCTGCAGCATGCAAATGTCCAGGGGAAACGGCACTGGCACAGAGGCGACTCGCTCCAGGCCGTTGAAACTATAGCCAGCTGACAGAGTGATAGAGAGAGGGAGAGAGAGAGAGTTAAACATGGGGTAATAGATAAATTGACGGGAAAAATAATAGAATAGATAGTATAGGGGACGATTGATAGGTAGATAACATATAGCTAATAGATGGAATAAAAGGAATTGATGACGAATATATGATAAGATAGCTAGATGGAAAAAGGTTGATAGTTACATGTGCGGAAAACATAATAAAATGTTAACTGAAAGATTGACAAACACATGTATGTATGGAGTAAGGAATATAGAAGGAAGATGGTATCTAGGGGCAGGATAGACAGGACAGGCGATTCAAAAAGGCGTTTAAGAGAGTTGATGTGTGGAAAGGAAAGAACAAAAAGATATGGTGCAAATATCTATGCCCATTCGAGACTTGGCAAATCGGGTACTTCGGTAGCGTCTATAGTTATGCTAACACCAAAAACTGCCTTGTGGGTTGGTTTTAAATCTCTATGAAGTTGAGCGAATATATTATATTTACATGTTCACTGGGGCGTGGCAAATAAGACTTTAAAATGTTTAGCATAGATTCTGAGTACTATTCTGAGTACAAAATACAGAAATAGATATGAACAACAATGTGAGCGTGGCAAATCAGAATAATCTATACTTTGCAGTGCTCTGGTGCTGCCTGAGTTTGGTCGTGAATGAGTATTTTGCAGTCAGTAGGACTGAATTGGTATTACATTCTTTTAATAGACTCTTTTTTAACTGGAATTTAAGTTGACGTAGTGTCCCTTTGAGGAGTTCAGCAATACTGTATATTTTGAGTATTATAAATTTTATATTAAATATATAAGGATATATAGATGCAGCTTTAAACTGTATGTATGTATCTAAGACTATATATATTTAATTTACTATATATGACAGCGAATTGAATTGAGCTTTAAGCATTGTATGCCTTTCGATCATAGAGTTGTTCAACGCTTTTCTATAGTAGTCAAGCTTATTATTTATAGCAATCATCTAGAATATCTGTTTGATGATACGCAAGAATTTCCAGACAGCTTTGATAAAGTTTGCAGCAAGAGCTAAGCTGAGGCCGAGACTAAATCAAACAACTCTCTCTCAATTTCCGTTAGCCATTGGCCATGGATTTGCAAGTCTATCGATGCTGCATCGGCCTGCAGCTGGAGGAGTTAGATCTGCTGAGTTCCATTTACTGTGCGGCGGGCGAGCTGCAGCTGCTCGATGCTGGGGTCGTAGCTGACTTCAGCGAGTTTCTGCAGTCGGAGTCAGAGGCGTCGTTGCGGTCCCACTTGGAGTACATCATCCGGCTGACTGTGGCTGCCAAGCAGTGCGTGGATGTGCGCATCGAGTTGCCGCATTTGTACCCGCAGCTGGAGCTGGCCAGGATTAGTGTGCACACCCCGTTGCTGGACAAGATCAAGGAGCAGCACTTGAAGCTGCAGATTGATAATTATTTGCTGGAACAGCGCCAGGCAGAGGAACCCTACATATTTCAGCTACTCAGTTGGCTGCAAGATCAGATTGAGGCACTAATGAGCTGCACGTCCAGCGATCTGGAGTGCCCGCCATCGGAGGAACCAAAGGAGCCAAAAGGCATGCAGCTAGAAAGGCTTTGGATATACTCGCATCATATCAAGTCGAGTGCCAAGCGGCAGGAGCTTGTGCGTCAAGCACGGCAGTTGCAGCTCACCGGATTCAGCAGGCCCGGCAAGCCGGGCATCATCTGCGTGGAGGGCGAGCCGGAGAACGTGCAGGAATATTGGCGCAGTATCAAGGCCCTGCGCTGGCAGAAAATTAGCCTGGTGCGCACCGAGCCGTGCCACAAGCGCCGCTTCGAACACTTCACTGAGCAACTCTTCAACTCGTCAGCCGCTGGCGGCGAGGAGGGCGTCATTAACATGGGCCAGTTCATCAGGTTTCTCGAGGATCATGGCACGGGCTACATGAAATCTGAGTTGTTTGGTTTAGCCTAAGATTTTCGAATGGATCCAAATTCAACTTCAAGTACTGTAAATAAATTCTGTTGTTTATATTTTCTAAAGTGAGTAAACCTTTGTCATAAAACTGTTGCATGTCGCGCTTGTGCAGGCGCTGCGACTCTGCGTCCAGGTCTGAGCCAATGCGATATCCAGGATAGCTCTCCCCGAAGAGCACCTCGAAAGCATGCCCATGCTTCCACAATAGCCAGTGGAATATGAATACACAAACTAAACGGCACATTGAATTAGACAACACTTAACACGTGTTTCGCCAAGCGAAACTTATGCTCAACTGAAGGCCTTGAGCTTTTAGAACCGTTGGCCAAGCTTTCGCTGATGCTCAATGAGTGTGAGAAGCACTGAATGAGGGCAATAGAGATCAGACGAAAGAGGAAGCGTGTGGGAGCTTAATTCAGACTCGATGAAAGTCAGTTGCAGCGCTGCATTACAATGCATAGGGGCAGGCCCTTAATTACAGAGCTGCAGAAGATCTACATTCTAATTTGAGAATGGTTTCAATGTACCATATTAATAGTTTGGTGTTGAATGAGCGGAAGAAACTCTATCGGAAGAGAGAGACAAAAAGATAGAGATAGTGAGAATGAGTGTCAAGAGTGAGAGAGGAAGAGTTTCAGAACACATAGAGAAACCTGGGATAGGAGAAGCGAGGATCAAAGAAATCAAATTCGTGTAAGCTCTGACGCATTGAAACATGTAATGAAAGTGACAAAATTATAGAGACAAAATTTTAGAAGAAAATTCAAGTATACATAAAAAAACTGAAAGGTGAAATTAAGTAAAAATAGTTAAATTATTGAATATTATTGAAATAGTTTGGCTGCTTATGGGACCGTATGGAGTTTGTTGCGGTTCACTTGTTTGTTATTAGCCAAACTCCTGGTTAAACATAATATCGCTTATAAGATATTCTAAACAAATATACAATGTAAGGGGTATTTATTAAAGAATTCATAGAAAAATATTGAAATAATTAATATTTTAAGTAATTAGCATAACTAGTATGCAAGGCCAGCATACTTCAAATAAATCCATCGCTATTAAGGCGTGTCACCAGAGACTCTTTGGCAATGGAAAGATTGTCAGTAGTTTCCTCCAGATTTTTGGTTTCCTCGGCAGCTGACTGCGATATGTCCTTATTCAAGTTCTGCTCTGTCTTAACTACTGCACCCTTTCTGTTTTTCACAAAGTCGCAATAACAACAACTATGAGCCCGTTTTGCAGAGGCTGCTCGTCGTCGCTTCACCCAGCCAATTTGCGCATAGGCTCGCCTGAAGTTCTCATTGTTGAAGCCGTAGACGATCGGGTTGACGGCGGCGTTGACAAACATCAGGTATTGCGAGAAGTACGAGAAGTATTGGGTGCCGCAGCCCACGCTCTCCGCCGTCTTGTAGGACCTCTCGCGCTGCACCACAAAAATGGTAAATGGAAGGCGCAGCACCACAAACACCACAACCACTATGAAGAGCGTCTTAGCCACGCTTCTCTTATAGCTGACAGTCAGGGGATTTTCGCGACTCAAAACGCGTTTCTCATAGCGATCCAGCTGGGGAGTAGGTAAGGTCTCATAAGTTAGTTCACTGCACTTACAATGGGTAAAGGCCTATCTGCTGTATTCAAATTCTTGGAAAGTTTGGCTTGTTTTTGATGGAATCTTACTCAGACTTTTTAGAGCTTGATTTTTGATATATAGTTATTAGAGGCCATATGCCTGATTATACAATTTGGTTGGAGTAGATCTATAAATGTCTATTGAGGTTAAACTCAAAAGCTATTGAAGATGGAAAATATATTCTGTTATAGATATAATCTGATATAAGTCTACAAATTTATTCTAATTAAATAATTTTGTTGGCTCACAGAATCGATTATCCTTAGGATATGTATACATATGTAGCTGGATTATCTTTCAGTCTACTAGACTCGTTCATGGGACTCTTACCTTAATAAATATGGCCGTGTAGCAGATGAGCATGATGCTCAGCGGCAGCCAGACCAGCACCGTGATCAGCACATACCAGTACTTGGGCAGGACATTGGTGTTCTCCTTGCAGTAGCGCTCGGTGAAGTTGCGCCAGATACGCACTCGATACTCCCGGTAGATGGCGAGAGGTAGTGCCAGCAGCAGACCCGTCAGCCAGGTGCAGGTGATCACGATCTTGGCGCCGTGCAGCGTTAGACGAGTCTCCTGAGGCAGAACAATGGCTGTGAGGCGATCGTAGCTGACCACTGAGAGGTTCAACACGGCTGTGATTAGAAAGACAACGACGAGGAACCCCTCCAGCTTGCAGCCCACACAGCCGAGCTGAAAGTTCTGGTAGAAGTCGTTGATCAGGAACATAACGGGGCATATCAGCAGGGTTAGCAGGTCCGCCATTGCCATATTGGCTATAATCAAGTTCGTTGGCGATCTCAGCGCACGGTTCGTAGCTATCAGATAGATCAAGATGTAGTTGGCATACAAGCCAAATATAATCAGTGGCAAGAAGGAGCAAACTTTCCAAGCGATTTCCTCTATCGCCTTGTGCCGCCAAATACGCTCCGCTGGAAAGTCCCATTGACTAAAGTCGAACTGTTTGAATGGATTGTGCAGAAACAGTAATAGGCATGGGGAATTGGCCTTAATAGAAAACTCACTTCAATACTACTATAGTTATGTGCATCCATTTTTGTTCTTCACCAGTCGACTCCTGCCGGGCAACTGACTTGTACAGCTGGTTGTAACATGCAAATTAACATGAACATTTATTGATCCTGTCTAATTCACTTAACTGATAGATAAGGCTATTAGCACTTGTCACTGATACCGCACACTAAAAGCATCCGAATTTGACGCTTTGACTCTGTGGGTTGTGGGCGTTGTTTACCTCTTGCAAAGCTCTTATTCAATTCTGATCAGCTGTCAATGATACTACCGCTCTATGCGCTTCTCATCAAAGGCCTGATTGCTTACTCACCTCTATGCGGTTGACAAACCTTTGTGTATATAAATAACTACATTAAAACAGATCTGCATCCCAAATCGAATAAAGTTTATCTGATCCTTGGAACCTAGTCACGGGCAAATATATACAATATTATACAATTATATCTACATAAATAGATCGGCTTTGGCTTTGGGAATATTTATTTTTTGAAGTTGTGGTTATCTTTCATATATATTATTTTAGCACTTTTCTTTATGGGCTTAATTATATTTAGAATTATTCTAAAAATTCGCTTCTTTAAATTATATCATCCATGTTCTAATCCTATTTCAGCTTATACTGAAAACTTCCTTGTTCGCTATTCTTAACATGTTCGGATAGTTTCAATATTTATATAGCACGGATTACGACCCGAGCCAATTCGTTTTCTACCCTTCAGTAGCTACTGCTTCACGCACCGCTTTAAGATTTTGTTTCCATCTGGCATTTAATTACATTTAAAATTATGACAATTTCAATTTCAGTTCAATGTGAGCTAATCTAATCGATGTCCAGTTTGCGGAAGGAGCCCTCAATCCCAAATAGCGAGTCGGCTGTTAGGCGTTTGCCCGGTCGCAGCTGTTCGTCAACGCCATAGTTACTCTCCTCCTTTAAGTAATTGCTATAGCTAAGCATATCCTGCTCCGCCTGTGCCACGATGTCAGCAATACGCCCATTGCTGCCTCCATACTCCTCTGGCATATATTCGCGCGGAATTATCTGAGAGAGTTCCTCCATATTCCTGTGCACATGGAACTGTGAAATGAATTCAAATGCAAATTTTCTCAGAAAGTAAACATAATATGAATAGATAGCAGCTTTAGCTGATTACATTTTATTTTTCAAATGAAAAACATTAGAGTCATTATTATTAAAATAGCTTATTCTCTTCAAAGTTAAAGGAGGCAGGGAGAGGTTAATTAACACTTAACTAACTTAACTATTGTGTTGTCGTGCTCTAGAAAATGAATATTGTATTGAAATTATGTAATTATATATTTCTGTATGTATTATTTTATCAGGAGATATAAACTCTAGCGGGTTGCCATTCCCCCTGTGAGCGGACATATATATACAAAATTTCAAGTCTCTAGCATCAATAGTGCCTTAAAAACGGCAGAATTTGAAAAATCCTATATCTTCAGGTCTTATTTTCCACGCACCTACTGGGCATAGACATATAATATTTTCATGTCGTTATAGAATCGTAGGATTGCACGTGAGGTGAAGCGTTCTAGCTTTATAACTCTAGGAGATACAGATTTAGCCGGTTTGCCACGCCCCAATGGGCGTAGATATCTCTACCATAGCTTTTATTCTTAGATGGTCAACGCGGAGCTACATTCCAAATTTCAGCTTTCTAGCTCTTCAGCTAATATGATCTCTGGTATATCGAAAAATGCATTTTCCTATTTGCCACGCCGCTAGTGGTCAGATCCGGAAAATTTTAGCACTTTATAAATCGGAGCTATACACGAGTATGTGTTCCAAACTTCAAGGCTGTAGCCTTAATAGCGCCGAAATAAACTGCGTTCACACGGAAAAACGGACGGACAGCAAGACGGACATTGCACAAAACTAATATACTCATTTCACCTTCTTAAATGAGTATAAAAATCCCCTCGAAATTTTGTTAATTTATGACCGCTGTTAAATCAATTCATAAAATAATTTGAGGGTGATAAGTCAGCGTATTGAAATTAGATGAAACCCCCTTCAACTGTATTGGGGTTGTTTCACTATCGAAACCCGTAAAGAGTTCCGTGAAAGCCATATTTATTTTCCATAATTTGAAATCGATTTGCGATTCTATATGGTTTATCAAAGAAATTTCGGTTCCCAACAGCTGAACAAACTGCGATAAGCGCCTGATAGCAATGGATTATCGAATAATGGTTTGTCGACAAAAAATAAAGTTTAACCAAAGCTAAAGTACATATTGAAATTGTACATGTGTAATTGAGAGATTGAGTAAAATTATTTCATTACTTCAAGTTTTCTTTTATAATTTTTCTATTTGAAACGAGAAAAAGAGTGATCTAGTCAGAAATGGTCGACTAAGCGATACTCAGAACTTTCCATGTTATGTACACACATTCATATACCCATACATACATACATATTAAATTTTATTTCCTATAGAATTGCTGAATCATATTTTACCAATTATATTAGCATGTAGGAATTTCCCAAGGTAAATGTTTTTAGTACTGCATATATGTTAAACCTATCCAAAAATCATTATATATATATGAATTCTCCATTTCACTATATTAAATATTTGTAGCTTTTGTTATATTTACTCTACTCTTAGAAAAGGAAATCGATTGATTTTGATCGACTATAAAGAATCCTATTATATTTAAGATTTCTAGTTTTGAGCCTTTATGGTTTATGAGATCGCTGGATGTATATATGAGATGGGATATATACTTATACATTTTATGGGGTGTGCTATCCGTCTCCCGTCTCTTTCGCTCATGTTTGCAAAAATATACCCTGCTTTCCCTTCAGTAAGTACAGAAATGATCAAATCATCGTTCAAATGTCGACTTTGCACTTACTCGGCTCTGTAGTTTGGCGGGCATAAGACTTCTGCCCAGATTGAGCACAGTGATCGCCTCCTTGGGGCAGTTGACCAAGTGGACGCCCTTTAGCCGGATGGGAGTACCCTTATCGGCGAACACGCCCATTTTCTTGATGAGCGAAATGTCCATCTGGGCAACCAGGCTGAGACTCATCTTGGACATGTTGATTATCTCGATGGTGCCACTGATGACGGCGTTGTCATCCTCGCGCACCAGCTGCTCCAGTAGCGTCGTCTGATACCGGAACAGATCGATCAACTTAAAGCCGTTCGATTCGAAGTTCGAGTAGTCCGTCAACTGAATGCGCGGTCCGCCGGGCCCGAAGGGCTTGGGCAAACGCACGTATGTGCTGAAAAGAGTATATGGAAATGAAACTCTATTAAATAGAATTGGAAATTAATTACCCTGCACGACACACCGCAATGTTCCTCTCGTCCATTTCACGATTGGCGAACACCTCCGGCATCATGGTCTTCAGCGTGTAGAAGTAGTCCAGCTTGGACTTGGCCTTCTCTAGGCTGAACTTGCAGCCTCGCAGAAAGGCAACCAAGAACTGAGCATCCTGGCGTGCCTTCAGGTGCGGCTGCTTGGCTAGCCAATCCCGCAGAGCTTTCAGGTCGTCGGGCAAACGCGATGGCACCTCGTTCAGTTCCGTTTCGGCTACTTGGCGCAACTCGGCGCTGATTGGACGTATCTCGGCCATAAACTGCTTCTGTACGGATCTCAACCGTGCGTCGTGGCAACTGTGCAACTACTGAAATTGGCGAATTCTCCACTTCTGGCCACTAATCAGTTGACTCTAATCTTGCCATTTTATGGCTAATCATTCGGTACTCTCTGATAATGCCCGCCGCTAACGTTGAGTGGCTACGCACCATAGATGGTCGCCCTGCTCTCTCTTCTAATTGTCGATAAGATTACAGCTGTTGCTAGAAGATCTCGCTTGCTAATAGTTAATCATCAAAATCTTGCAGCCATGGGACGTATAGAATGAAAGTCGAGGAAAACTTGGATGGGGACAAATGCAGCTGTAGAAGTCGCATAGCAAAGTTCGCATTTGTTGATATCTGGCGGGTAATCGAACCATACTACAGTTATATCTACTACAGTCTTATCTTATCGCTCGACTGTGTCTGCACAGTGGCACCAAAGCTCATATTTGCCATGCGAAATATAGGCATATACGTGATTAAAAACTTTTCCTTTGCTTTCTCCTCTATTTTTGTTGTGAACCTTAAGTTCTCAAGAAACGACCAAAATTACGTATTTAAATACATATCAATTTGTTTGGCAAATAATATTAATTTACCGAGAAACAATAGTTCTTGTTTTGAGTATGAAATAAATCGATAAGAAAATGTTGAGCCGCTTTCGGTCCACTGTGCATTGGTCACGTCTATATCGCCCCCTTTGCTACCGCTAGCGTAGGGTACACTTGTTTGCTCCAGGTCAAAACAAGGCAGCCATCGACTTAAATATTAGTTGTGTTTCAGCCCAGACGGAGCACACAAGTCACACCACCAACACCCTCCCGGCCACCAGTACACATTGTCAGTTTGCTTTAAGTTTCGAAACCAAATTTGCAGCTATCATACACTACTATGGCCAAGATTCGAGAGCTGGTGCCAGAGCTGGCGGAAGTGGCGCGCACTGAGCTGAACGAGGACCCGGCGAGCCGGGATGAGCTCATTGCAGCCCTGCGCGCGTGGATCGAGGAACAGAGCTATCTGGTGGCACGTACCGAAGATCAGTTCCTGGTTGCATTTCTGCGCTTCTGTCGCTGGGATCTGGAGGAGGCCAAGAAACGTGTGCTCTTCTTCTACAACTACAAGTCCAAGGAGCGCGGCCTGCTCAAGAGTCGCTTTGTGGACGACAAACTGCTCGAGCTGGCTAGATCTGGGTGAGTCGGACTCGAAGTCGAAATCGAAATCGAAATCGAAATCCAAAGATAGGGAGAGAGAGAGAGAGAGAGAGAAAGAATGATAGAGAGTTAGAGAATAAGCTTCATTATCGTTTTATCAGCATATTCGCGACGCTACCTAATCCCATTGGTCCGGGCGGCCCACGTATACACTTCACACGCATGGGACACATAGAAACTTCCAAGCATAGTGTATCCGACATCTTTCGCTTCCATGCCTTCCGCTCTGAAATGGAGATCAACTCCGACGACAACTGGAACATAGCTGGTGTTGTGGAAGTGATTGATTTCACCAAAATTCCCTATTCGCTGTTGCTGCAGTTCGACCCAAGCTTGTTCCGACGCATGAATTCCTTCCTCGAGCATGGCATTCCCACGAACCTGGTGGCCACGCACATCGTGAATGCATCGCGAGAAACACAGTTTGTGCTCACCATTATCCGCAATGTGATGAAACAGAAGGAGCTGGTACGTAGCCAGTAAAGAACCATTGTATGTAAAAAGCTCTCTTTCTCATCGAGTTCTTGTTTCTCTTCCTTCAGCTGCACATACATCCGAATCTGGAGTCGCTGTACAAGGCCATTGGCAAGGAGTACCTGCCGGTGGAGCTGGGCGGCAACAATGGCTCCTTGAATGATGCCACGGCATTTTATGAGTCGCAGCTGACCAACTTTACGCCCTATTTTAAGGACGATGAACGCTACGGCGTCGACGAGAAGCTGCGCGTCGCCAGCGAGAAGGAGACGCGACCCACGCTGGTTGCCGCTGCTGCCAACGAGGACGGCACATTTCGCAAGCTGAACTTCGATTGAGGCCGAGGCTGTGACGACGATAGTGGCTAGTGGCTAGTGGCTAGTGGCTGTGCTGGTGGCAGTGGCCGTGGCCATAGCAGTTAGTTGTATATTCAAATGCACATACTATACACACCTCACTCTGTCTATATATGAGTCCCTACATATATATATATATCTACGTGTATATATATACTTATATACTATGCTATAGCGAAATTTGGTCATAGCTGGAACCTGATATTTTATAACACTTCATAGAAAGCAACATCGAAACTGAAAGCAAATTGAACAATGTTACAACAAAAACAAATTGCGCACTAAAAAACTGTAAGAAAAAAATGCAAAACTAAAAATGCCATTAAATGGCCAAAAACCTCATGAATGTCGATTATAATTTATTGTCGGTCTTATCAACGCACATAGCCTCATCCAAATGTCTACCGTTCCCCACTTGGTTTTCCTCGCCGCATTTCGCTCACAATGGACGTCTTCTACTTATACATATATATGTATATATATATATATCATACCATATATATGTATGTGTATACTATACTAAGTTGATGTTGGCTTTTATTTTGAATATGCATTCGTACAAACATACCGATGCATAGGCATATGCATATGCATACATATATATATGTATTTAATTTTTGAACATTTTTGATTTAGTTAAGTGTCGTTTCTACTAATTTTTGATACTAGTTTACACATAAACATATACATACATTGAATAAAATAAATATATATATTTAGTATATACACATTACATATATAATTGCCGGTGTATTGTAGCGACCCATGTTGAGTACGTTAATAAATTAAAGCGAATTTGTTTAAATGTCAAAAAATATATAACAACAAACAACAACAAAGCACCCAATCGCAAAGCTGATATTTTCTTTGGCTGCTATCATTATTCACTTAGTAATCGCTGCTGATAAGCCTATGACGTATCTCGCCTTGGCATTTATGCTGCGATATTATCTATGCTTTAGATAAAAGTTTCGGCATGTTCCAGCTACGAGATAAAAACGAAAATCGAATAACAAAATCCATTAAAGTATTAGATGTAATGCCAAACTTGTCACTTTAAATATTTGATGTGATTGATTGTTTTGCTGTGGAACAAACAATTGACTTTGTGTAGAATAAGAGTTGATTTTGATGAATTTGTCTTGTGCATTTGAAATTCGCGCCAACTCAGTGCAGCAGCTAAGTGCGAGCGAGATAGCTCTACAGGTACGCCAGAGCAGTGCTGAAAAACGAACACGGGGTAAACAGTGCTGAGCAGCAGCGAAATTTGAGCTTTGCACCACAGCTGATTCAGTAGGTCTCAGACTCAGAGACCGAGTTTTTCCGGATTAATTTACTGAGATGGCACAGGCTCTCAAGTTGTACTACGACTTCCTGTCGCCACCATCGCGAGCTGTGTGGCTCGCGCTCAAATTGAGCAAAACGCAATTTGAAGCCTGTCCCGTGGCGCTGCGCAAACGTAAGTTGAAGTGCGCCAAGAGCTGTGGGCGGCGAATCAAATTCGAATTTGTGTTTGCAGGTGAGCAGTTGACCGATGAGTACAAGAAGATCAATCGCTTCCAGAAGTTGCCCGCACTGGTGGATGGCAGCTTCCACCTTTCTGAGAGCGTGGCCATGATCCGGTGAGTATAAATATCAAGCGAAAGGGGTCAGCACTAAGAAGTTTTATTCTCATTAATTCCAGTTATCTTGCGGATAAGAATAAGTTGAGCCAGCAGATTTATCCAAAGGATCTGGAGACGCGTGCTCGTGTGGATGAGTATTTGATGTGGCAGTTCCGAAACGTGCATGTGCCCTGTGGCACATACTTTCTGAAGGGTTGGCTATTGCCCATCAATGGACTCGCGCCCAAGCCCAAGCCGGAGGTGGTTGCTAAACTTGTAAAAGATGTTGAGACCAGTCTGGATCTCCTTGAGCGCTTCTGGATGAACGATGATTACTTGGTTGGCGACAAGCTCACAGTGGCAGATTTATCGTGCTCCTCTGAGATAGAACAGCTGAGTAAGCGATCCAATAGCAGTGCTCCTTGGTATTCCATTGCTAATGCACTGTATTTCGCAGGACTCTGCCAGTTCCATGTGAACGAACGACAATTCCCAAAGGTGGCCAAGTGGTTAGAGCGCGTGCGCATCGCATCCAAGCCCTACAACGATATCGCCTACGAGTTCGTTAACCAAAAGGCTAAGCAGGCAGCTAAGTTGTGAGCCGATCTGTCCAGCTCCCTTACTTTTCCCTGCCTTCTTAGTCTAATTTTGCCTGAGTGTATTTAATTTATGTTCTGTCTGTTTAACTAGCTTTAATCAGATTCTAACGTCTGCATAGACAATCTTCATATAGTTCAAGTTTATCGTTTCTATTTGAAATTTGTGTTTAGCTGATTCTTTTTACAACATTAAAAATTATGTTTTATAAATATGTACTACAATAAAACGTATAACTAATCAATGTCCAGTTTCCGAAAGGAGCCTTCGATGCCGAACAGCGTTTCCGAATTAATGGGCTGTCCATGTCGCAGCTTCTCATTCGTACCGTAGACCGCGTCCTCCTGGAAGAAGTCCGTGTACTCTAGCAGCTTATTCGTCCAGGTATCGATAACGTCCTGTATGTTGCCATTGGTGCCGCCATACTCAATGGGCAGATACTCCTTAGGGACGTACTTGTACAGCGAATCCAGCTTGGTGTGTATATGGAACTGGGCAGGAGAAAGTGAAAATTATATAGTTATTTATGTATATATTCTCATTTCCAGTGCCTTCAGAACTCACCCGTTTGCGTATCTTGTCGCTCATTAAGCTCTTGGCTATGGACATTGCCTTCTCGGCCATGGATGGCGCATTGATGAAGTGGAAGCCCTTGGGTCTATATGGCAGCGCCTTGTCGCCGAGCACAGCCAGCTTCTTGATGAGGACCGCGTCGAATTGGAACATGTGGCCGGCGGTGACGCCTTTCATGTCGATGATCTCCACAAAGCCAGATACCATTGCATTGTCGTCCTCTCTGATCTGTATCTCGCCCAGCATGGTGTTGACCTGCATGACCTCCGCAATGGAATACTTGCTGGAGTCGTACTGGGCATAGCGAGAGATGTGAATGCGTGGACCGTCCACTTGCAGCGGATGCGAGAGTCGCAGCAGGCAGCTTAAAGTTATACGTGTACATATATAGAGTATGTGAGAGATAATCTTCCGTTTTCATGGCACCTACCCTGTCTTGAGTATGTTCAGCTGTTTCTCGCCCACGAGGCGATTCTTGTACAGTTCCGGGACAGCGCCTCGCATCGCATAGAAGTTGTCCAGCTTGAGCTTTGTCTTCTCCAGGCTGTATTTGCAGCCGCGCAGAAAGGCGACCAGAAATTGTGCATCCTCGCGTGCTTTTAGGTGGGGCTGTTTTGAGATCCATGTGCGTATCGTCTCAATGTCCTCTGGCACTCGCTCGGGCACCTCGCCCAGCTCCTTCTGCGCCTTGAGACCCAGCTCAGCGCTCAACGGGCGGATGTTCAGATTATCAATGGACGACATGACTTGTGGTGGGTGGGATGTATTTTGGACGCGGCTATCTGGTGGTACAGAACTTTGATTTATTGAAGTTCGGTTTAGGTGGGCACAGATAATAGTCAAAAGTATATTTCCGGGCGATTTGCAATCGTCATGTTTTAGTGATTAGATATGGACTCATGCTACCAAGTGCTTCAGTTTTAACGGACAAATGATTTGTCATAGATGTGACAAGCCCTTGGGCTATCACTGAACTGATTAACAGTTGAACTTGTATATAATTACAGGTACTTTTAGTTACTATCTCTAGTGCTGGGGCTGGGGTTGGGGCTTAGTCAGAGTGGCAAACGAGGTGTAGCTGGCGTGTTATCAGTGCCGCTACAGTTCGATATCTATATAGGCGCGGGCCTTGATTCGTCTTTAACTGTGCGACACAAAGCTTTGTATAATTTCCACGCTCACTCGACCTCTGCTCGCAATTGTCACTAATTTAATATAAT